TTCAGTTCCCCCAAATTTTTGGTCGGGAAGACCTGGACCTGGCCTTGGCTAGACACTGCATTACCCCGGAAAGAGCAAGCGGCTATGCATTACCCGATCCGGGATAATGCAGTGCCCACTGCCCAGCCGGCAACCTCTGGGAGGGTTCAGCTGGAGGATTTTCGCCGGCCTAAGTACATGTATAACAACTACCAAAAAAAAAAACGAGAAGGAACGTGCTAGTTGCTTCTGGTGACGCGACTCTACTTATACCCGTACCCGTACTATACATTTTTGATTTTGATTTGATTTTTTAGAATTTTAGAATTAAAACGAGAAGGAACGTGTGAGTCGCTTCTGGGGACGCGACTCTACTTCTACCCGTACTCAGTCAGTATATACATTTTTGAGCTTAGGAATGACAACGCCCAATCGCCAAATGCACGACGCATTTAATAAATAGTTGGGACGCGAAACGAAATATGATTCCGAAGCATTAAAAGAAACCGTTCAAAGAAACGTTTCCCTTTTAAATGAGCAACAAAAATATGTCTACGGTACGCTAATGAAAGTAGTGAACGATGGAACTGGCGGATATTTTTTTTTTTTTAGATGCTTCCGGTGGGACTGGGGAACGTTTTTGATATTATTGATTTTGGCAACGATTCGATCGCAAAATGGTTTCGCACTTGCACTTGCTTGGTCAGGTATTGCAGCTACGTTGTTGGAAGGCGGTCTAACAGCTCATTCCACACTCAAGTTGCCGTTGAACATGCAAATAAATGAAACACCAACTTGCAAACTTTCAAGAAATTCTGCGATGGCCAAAGTGTTGCAACAGAGCAAATTAATAGTTTGGGATGAGTGCACGATGGTACACAAAAAATCATTGGAAGCATTATACCGCAAGTTGCAAGATTTCCGAAATAACCAAACCCGGCTTGGTGGTGCACTGATTTTATTAGCAGGAGATTTTCGCCAAACACTACCAGTGATACCACAATCAACACCAGCCGACGAACTTACAAAAAACATTGATGTCAACGAAATAAATTTCCAAATTCAAAATAATATAGCTGGCGAATTAATAACATACAAATCGATTGAGTCCGTTACTTACCAAGATGATATTGTCACCTATCCAACGGAGTTCTTAAATTCGATGGAATTGCCCGGATTACCACCTCATAATCTGCAACTAAGATCGGATCGGTAATTATTATGATGCGGAATATAAACCAGCCACTTCTTTCTAATGACACCCGACTTGCGGTGAAAAAATGAACAACGTCATCGAAGCCACAATTTTGAAAGGGAAATATGTATAAAGGAGAAGACTTTTTTTATACCACGGATTCCTTTGATTTCGAACGACATGCCATTCGACTTTAACCGGTTACAGTTTCCAGTGAGGCTAGCAATTGCAATGTCGATAAATAAATCTCAAAGGCTGTCGCTAATTGTTTGTGGCATTAATCTTGAAAATCAATGTTTTTCGCATGGCCAGTTATATGTCGCTTGTTCACGAGTCGGAGTACCAACCAAACTATTTATATACGCGCCAGAGAAAAAAACAGAGAATGTTGTTTATCATAAAGCATTACAATAATAAACACTTTCTTTCTGAAATATTTTTTAGTTAATGATACCAATTCGAAATCAATATTTATAGTTAAGACAGCACAACGTCTGTCGGGTCCGCTAGAAATGATTTTCATGTGGAACAAACGGATAAAAAGGCGCATCTGAAAAATTAGTTTACTGTCGGAAAATCGAAAATTATAAAAATATATATATCACATTTTGTGTTGTGACAGGCAGCATTTGATAAGCTGGCAAGTGCATTTGTCAGCTTTTCAGAAGTGCAAAGTTCTATGCAACCAGATATAAGATACTTAAGTCATGTGAAAAATAAAAGCACTAATTTCAGGTAAAATTCGTTTTGAGTAGTTTTGGTCAAACGGCTGCAAGTTGACCGTTTATCCATAGATTTTAATGAACAATACCTTAAACGACGCCTAAATACTAGACGCATTAAAACTAAAAATGCATGACAAGAATTATTTTTTTTTCGACTTTTCCCGAGTTTTTAAAGTCGAAATTTGGAAAAAAAAATACCGCAAAAAATTATGAAATTTGAATTTAAAAGCTTAATATCTTCCAGGCGTTAGGCTGCAGCTACAAAATGTCTGGGTCGGATTTATAGCTGCGCTTCAGCTTTACAGAACTGCAAAGTTCTATGCAATAAGATAAAAGATACTTAAGTTATGTGAAAAATAGATGCACTACCTCTGAAAAAAACCATGAAAAAAATAACAGATTTTAAAAATTCTTAAAAAAAAATGACCACAAAAATAAAAGTACTGCAAAAATGTTTAAATCCCGAAATTAATCAGAAAAAGTCATTTTGGTTCTCAGCCTAAATAAAAAGTTCAATTTTGTCGAGTAGTGTTATTTGCAGTTTTGTTTTTTCAACAAATTTTTCTTTTAGCCCTAGGGGGGCCCTAGGCAACTGCTAATCCGGCCATGGTCCAATTCCTGTCGTCAGACTTCATATTTTGTTGGTGTATTCTGTGGCTCGACTTGACGCGGGTCGAGGCATTGACGAAGCCGAAGGCAGATGCAAAGGCTAGCCTAAAAAAGAATGGAAGAAATACCCCAAATACTCCAGGCGCTCAACAAGACGGACGGACGGAAAGACAGACATGGCTATATCGACTCGGCTTTTGATGCTGATCAAGAATATATATACTTTATGGGGTCGGAAACGTTTCCTTCTCTGCGTTACACACATCCACTTTTACCACAAATCTAATATACCCCTTAACTCTTTTTTGAGTACGGGTATAAAAAATATTTACATTTTTTTGCGACATCTGTTATCTACATCTACAATGTATATTCTACATATAACATGTAGATTATATATGTACCATTTAGATTCAACATCTCCTCTTTTAGGGGGCGCTCGCGTACATAACGAGGCAGTGTGCGAGCGAGAATGAGAATGAGTAGCGGGTCTCTGGCTGTGGGGGGCGGGGGAAGCAACTGAAAAAAATTTATTTCTTCATTCTGGCTATAATTATGATCCGATCTGATTCAGATCTGATTCAATCTGGTAGATATGGTCATTCTCTACGATACGATACTGCGTTTGCAGTTTTATCGTATTTTTAAAAATGTGACTGCCACAGATTTTTGTCCTTTGTTGGGCCGGAAGGGGGCGGGGCGAAATTTTGATATACACTTGTACCAGTGTGATATCACATGAGTCTGGAAACCAAATTTTGTTGCCCTAGCTCTTATAGTCTCTAAGATCTAGGCGCTCAACAAGACGGACAGACAGACATTCACTTTTACCACAAATACAATATATAGCCTATATAGCCAATATATGCAACAGGAAGCAATAGTGAAATGGAAAACCGCGCAGAGGATTTCCGCTTACAAATTTCCGCCAGGCCACAGAATTCCGAGCGATTTCATTTTTCTTAGCATTGTCACAAACCAAATTCGAACTAAGGCTAGGGTTGACAGCTTTCAAGATTCAATTCGAATAGGGTTCACTTTGCAGTTTTATTGATTTTATCATATACAAAACAATTGGTTTTTATTTTTTTCTTTTATGATATAAAATAATTGATTTTTCAAAGCTGTACTTTTATAATTTCAAAGCAAAAAAACATCCCATATCGTGCGAGTCAAACCAAACAATGTACTCAGCAACTCCAGCAGTTGTCTGGCAACTCTCCGTGCAAGGCAACAATCAGCTGTTCATAAAAAACACACATCTGAATTTTACGGTAAACTTAATTAAATGCTTTTACCGAGACTGTTGGCCATCGAATAACTACGGAGGCAACATATTAGAATATAAACCTTGCAGCGCAGGCTTCTCAGATGCGCATCGTTCAGACGATACGTATGTGGTTTTTGTGATTGTTTTCTCAAACTATTGCTAATTTAGTTCATTAAAACTACCAGTTTTTGGTATAATGATCGCTATGCTTCTATTTGTGCTGCCATTGGTCTGCACTTAGCCGAACAGGTGTTTTTTTTTTAATTATTAATTAAAGAAGAACAGAATGCTTTCAATATAATTAATATTAAATATATTGCTCCGAATTCGACTTAAAAAAGGTGGCATTACTGTATTAACTTCGAAAGTCCGAATCGCCCTAGGTTGCCACCTCGGACTGCAGCGGATTGAGCGCGGAATTGTTAAGTGAAAATTCAGTGTGCGGATTGGATAGTGATTTACTAAAATGCTTATTTTATTAACTTAACGTGTATAATGTTAAATTATTTGGATGAGGATTAATCACCAATTGAACAACCTTTATGGTAAAGTAAGATTCGAATCGTTTTAGGTGTGTTTTATGGGGGTATTTAATCAAATCGCTGTATAAATTGTGAGCGATTTTGATTCCGCTGAAAAATCGGTGTGCACGGCGGGAAGTGATTTCTGTGGCACCCCTTTTTAACTCTTTTTGAGTACGGGTATAAAAACATACATTTATTGAAAAAGTTGATAGTACGTAAACAACTCCCAATAAGTAACTTACAAGTTTTTACGATTTTTCCAAACAACGATTTTTCAAACTTTAAAAACGAAAACAAAAGTGAATTTTTTATAGCCGTACTCAAAAATGAGTTTAACTAAACACTCGAAGCAGCTTGAGGTGTGACGAGAATCCCTCGATGACATCTACTAATTCCGAAACTTCCACAGCAGCGGTCAGCCCGACCGCGTTCTTCCTCTTCTCCTGCTAAACATCTTCTGAAGGCTCGAAATGAGAGTTTTAAGGCCTGTTCTCTTCTTCATCCTTCAGAAATGATGGCCCTTTAAACCAGATTGACTGGACGATTTCCTAGACGTCACAAACTCTTGACAATATCTGCTGGGTTCTGTTTTGTAGGGACATGCCGCCACGTAGCTTCATCTGACCACCCCTGAATCTCAGCCACCCTATTCGAAACGAACGTCGACAACGAAGATAGATGCGACCGAATCCGTGTTCACTTCAGAGTCTGACCAATAAACAGCTCGTTCGATAATAGGGGCTTAATTCTCTGACAGTGATCCGCGAGAAGGTGAGCGGTACATAACTCAAGCCGTGGGAGCGTTTTGGTCTTGAGCGGCGCTATTTTGGACTTTGAAGTCAACAATGATATTTTTAAACCTTCTGCAGTAAAGCTCTCATGGAGGCGTCAGGCATGTATCTGGCATGTATCTGGACCGGTGACATCGGATCGGAATACACAATCTCTTCCAATTGAGACAGTGTATTTTTCAACATATTCCATGCTGTATCCAAACGCCTTAGTCGATTCTGAATGCGGGATCGCTATGGGCTTTGCTGTGCTCTCAGATGCGGTGATCTCAGGTGAGTTCGAAAACCACTTCGCTAACTCAAACCCTGCGGTCTGAAGAACCTGAGATACTTCAGACTTAGTTGTCCTTAGCTCCTCTACGCATGCAGCACCAGTCAACATGTCATCAACGTAAAAGTCGGACCCAATAGCGTCAGCAGCTTTAGGGAATGATAGTTTCACAGACTCACTCAACCTTTGTAAACACCGAATATCCAAAAAGGGGGCTGGTCCAGTCCCATACGTCACGGTGTTAAGCTTGTATAATCTTAAGGACTCAGATGGGTCTCTTCTCCACACTATCATCTGAAACTGCCTATCCGCTTCATTTACCATCACTTGGCGATACATCTTTTTTACATCGGCAGTCAGGGCGATCCTGTGCAGACGGAAGCGGAGAAGCGTTGAGTATAATTCCTCTTGAATGGTCGGTCCGACCATCAGAATCTCATTCAAGGCCACCTGAGAGGACGTCTTCGACGACGCATCGAACACGACGCGAAGCTTGGTGGACGTACTTTGGGGCCGAAAGACACACTGATGTGGAATAACGTAGTGTGGAGTAGAATGAACCGTATTGTCAGTCGGCGACATATGACCTGAGGAGAGGTACTCTCCATGAATTCCAAATCCTTTATAATTTGCTTTGAAGATGGCATTTCTTCCAGTGACCAGAATTTTTGCAAGGTTCTATCAATGGAAACGAACAACTCTTCACTGCAATTCAAACTGTTTGCAGTTTGGGGGGAAAAATATTTTTCCGAAACAACCCAGCCATGAAGTGTCTTCTAAAGAGTTGGATTTGACCAACAGCTAATAACACAAAGAATGATTCACCTCCAATCAGCATGTATATTCTTTGTGGCTTGTAGAAATATGGATCTGCCAGTGTTAGGTTCTCTGCGATTTTCCAATCAGTTACATTAACTGATTGGTCAGGGTCATAACCTGTAATGGATTTCAGGATCCAAAAATCACTTTTATTCTTTACATGAGAATTGGATTCACCAATACCAATACACGACTCCTCTCTACGGATCTGTTAGCGGTGGGCGAGGACTTCCCTGATGAAGTTTGTTTGGGATCCAGAGTCAAGGAGAGCTCTGGCCAAAATGTGTTCACCGTTTATTATTCTGACACTTACGATCGACGTAGCCAAAATCACCCTGTCTAACGAAGTCGCATGTAGAGCATGAAGGTGGAAGGGTGATCCTGATTTAAAGGAGGAGACGAACTCTCTGGCGGTGGCGGCAACGCGAGACTATTATCAGTCACTGTGTATCGATGCAACAATGTGTGATGTGAGCGACCTTGCATTTTACTTCAGTGTGACCCTTTTGCAGACAATTAATACATAAGGACGCAGACTTTGTGAACTCGAATCTTTGCATAGCCGAGAGACGTGAAAATGGCGTGCAGTTGGCCACTACTTGGTCTCCCGAATTGCAATAGCTGGATGTTCGCTGAGCTCTACTGTTGGGGGGAGCAACATTTCAAAGTCTAGCTGTTCTTCCCACTTCTGTCTAGTCACTGGGTCGACTCTGTTCAAACCGAGTTGAATGAGCATTGCATTCGAAATCTTCGTATCGTCTCCTATCGATAGTAATGAACCATAGATAAATAACACTGTATCGATGAGGCTCCTTAGGGACGATGCGGACTGTTGCGAAGCTTTTGGCAGATTAAACAGTGCGGAGATTTGGTTCGAAAATATATACTCGTTGTCGTATACTCGCTTTAGGCTGGCCATGGCCTTTGCATAATTGGCCTATGTAACTTGGAACGCATTTATTGTTCCTACTTCTTCATTAGAGAGGCATGAAGTTAATTGATTACATTTTTCAATCACCGGTATACTATCATTATTATGGCCAAGAGTCTCAATAAGGCTTATCAAATTTTTAAACTCCGAATATTTACCACTAAATTTTGGTAGGGACAATTTCGGAAGTCGAGCACGAGTTGGGGCCGTAGCTTGTTAGCTTCAAGGCATCGATAAGCGACATTATCTTTGCTTTGGTTACAATGGCCATTTCTTCCAGCTCAGCTCCAAATTCATCTTTGCTATCAATTTCTTCTTTTTGTTCCTGCAATAGGTTGACCTTGTTAATAGCAGAATTCAAAACATCGAGTCTGCAGTGCAGCTCTGTCAATTGCAATGGAATCGATCCACCCTCCAATCGATCCTCTAAGTGGCGGTCCTCTCGGTTTTTGAGCTTACTTTTTAATTCATCGAGAACAGACTTATTTTCTTGTGCGATCAATATTTTTTAGATAAAAATAATAAATGTTCAAACAAGAACGAAAATAGAGAACGACAATAACACTACTCGACAAAATCCAACTTTTTTTTGTCCTCAAGGATCCAAACCGACTTTTTCTGATAGATATGGAACTTTAAAATTTTGTAAAGAATAATGTTTTTTTTCTATGGCTGAACTTTTTTTTTAAAGCCTAGCCTAGCCTCAGATCCAAAAAAACACCTCGCGAACAGGTTGATATTCGTTGATATTTGTATGAAACCGATAAGAAATTTTTTACGGCTGTTCGGTCTCCCAGCCGTGCATTATATAGTATGTTTAGTCAGTGGTGCAGCTTTAAAGTAATTCCTGTTATTTGTTCGTTATTTGCACTTCCCGCTGTACCTAATTGTAATCGACATGTATCTAAACCCGCACCCTCACTGTATTAGCCGTTTCAACCGTTTTTTCGTCTCTTCGTCTCGCGCCTTTCTGCTTTCTATCATTCGCGCTCTTTCGTTCTATCGATCATTTTAGCTCTCTCGTTCTCTCGAATACTCTCTCCATCTATTTCGTAGCATCGCGTAGGGCACGGCTATTTCGGTCTGTCTGACCTAACATGTCTTCGCAATGGTCATGATCTGGTCTAGCACTTGCATGCCTTTGTAATCTTCGCACTTTTCTTTCGTCGCATATATAAATACGAATCGCGGTTTATATATGCATCTAGCTTTCGTCCTTCTTTCGTCTTCGCTTTCGCTCTCTTCATCTTTCTTTCTCTCGCTTGCATTAGGGCACGGGCAATTCGGTCCACCTGCCATTAGCAGAGTCTTGACGTAGCATTCGCACTTGACACATCGTCGCCTAATCGACCAGGCATATTATCAATAAACAAACATAAATGTACATTAATCTGTTCGTGACGTTTCATTGTAAATAAAGGTTATACATTTGGTATCCTCCTCTAAACAACGGCAAAAACTGTTTTCTTGGCTCTGTACGGAAGGCAGTACTCAGTTCAACAAAAAAAAAAAAAAACGAGAAGGAACGTGTGAGTCGCTTCTGGAGACGCGACTCTACTTATACCCGTACTCAGTCAGTATATACATTTTTGAACATATGATTTTTTAGAATTTTGGAATTAAAAAAAAAAAATTTTACATTTTACATTTTTTTTGCTACATATGTTATCTACATATACATATACAATGTATATTCTACATCTAACACGTAGATTGTACATGTACCATTTAGAATCTGAACACACTGAACGCGGCAGAGTGTGCGAGCGAGAAAGGGAATCAGTGGCGTGATTCATGCTGGTGGAGACGGGGGAAACGACTGAAAATTAATTTCTTCATTCTGGCTATAATTATGATCCGATCTGATTCAGATTCGGCATTCTGGTAGATATGGTGAATTTCTACGATTCTGCGTTTTTAGTTTTATCGTAGCTTTAAAATTGTGCCTGCCACAGATTTTCGTCCTTTGTGGTGGCGTAAGGGGCGGGGCGAAATTATGAAATATACTTGTAGCAGGGGGATATCACATGAGTCTGGAAACCAAATTTGGTTGCCCTAGCTCTTATAGTCTCTGAGATCTAGGCGCTCAACAAGACGGACAGACAGACGGACACACAGACAGACGGACAGACAGACATGGCTATATCGACTCGGCTATTGATGCTAATCAAGAATTTACATACTTTATGGGGTCGGAAACGTTTCCTTCTCTGCGTTACACACATCCACTTTTACCATAAATCTAATAAACCTCTTAACTCTTTTTGGAGTACGGGTATAAAAAGTTGGTTTTGTTCCTTGAGGAAAACTCGTGTCGAGTAGTGTAATTGAATGTCGTGGCGCGTCACTTTCAAAGTGGGAGTCGAAAACAATATACCCTAAGAATAAAGGGTTGCGTGTCACTTGTAAAGTGAAAACAAAAACAATATACAAACAAATACCCTATACAAAATGATCAAGCGCGGCAACGAAAATTCTCCCACCATAAGCGAAAGCGAGAGACGAAAAGAATGCACTGTTGCAGCTGCTTGTATGTGTGTACATGTGTATGGGAAGTAAGTGCTATACACCGCGGCTTGGGTTAACGAACCAACTTGTTGGCGAATTTAAAAAAACGAGAGGGGAAATGGGGGGGCCGACAGTAATTGCGGTAAGCGATATATATAATTGTGCGTCCAAATAGCGGTTCAAATAGAGTATGGTATGGTTTTTGTATATTTTATATTGTGTTATATATAGTAACATATCCATAATGCCCTACACCTACATACGCATTAAGTATACGTTAAGCACTTGACATATTCATAACCACACCCACAACCATACACGTTATGTATATGACCAGCACTCACCCCACACCCATGTATTCGCATCTATATGAAATAAGATAAACATATAAGAAGATACCCCAACAGCTGAATCAACAGGAAGTCCCACACTCCAATAGAAGGGAGAACTAACGTAAACAAGTGAGTTCTCAAGATGAAAGCTGACACCAATCACCAGCTGCGGCTACCCGTTTCATCTAAGCCGACGCATCTCCCAAGACCTCCCACACATAGACCAACGCATAGCTTATCAGCCGCTCTCACCAAAGCAACGCCTCTCACAACCGAAGCTTCGCCTCTCTCAGCCGAAGCCATCATCACTCAATCACGAAGACGAAATATCAGCCGAAACCGAAAGCTTAAGGAGATAAGCTTTAAGCTTCCCAACAGAGGTCTCGAGATCAATAACTCGAGAACAAGAAGA